CCCTGGAGGGGATGTGGAGGGCACACTTGGGATTGATTTCCCAGGGTCCAGGCTACATGGCCATTACACTGGGGCTGAGTTTCATTGAGTATTTGTTCCCATCGCATCCTGCGATGCCCGGTGTGTGGTAAGGAGCTCAGCACACATGTGTTAGAAACGACCATACCAGCTGGGGGGCATGGGGAGGCTGAGGTGACGATGTGGGGCTTGGGGAAGTGAAGGGAAGTGAGTCCAGCTTTGGACGTGTTGTTTCACTTGAAGAATTTAAGATTATCCAGGTGGCTCAGCACCTGTGGCTCAAGCAGCTAAGGCGCCAGCCACGTACACCTAAGGTGGCGGGTTCGAATTCCCAGCCCGGACCCGCCAAACAACAGTGACGGCTGCAACCAAAAAATGGCCAGGCGTTGTGGCGGGTGCCTGTGGTCCCAGCTACTTGGGAGGCTGAGGCAGGAGACTCGCTTGAGCCCAGGAGTTGGAGGTTGCTGTGAGCTGTGATGCCATGGCACTCTACCCAAGGGGATAGCTTGAGGCTCCGTCTCAAAAAAAAAAAAAAGATTATCCAGGTAAAAAAACTTAGAAATATTAGGATGGATTCTAGAGGAAAAGTAGGGCTGAAAATAGCTTGAATCATCTGTGTATGAACAGTAGTTAAACCTCTGAGAGTGAATGAACTGTCCTGTGAAAATGTGTGGCTGGGGCTGGGGGGGGGAGCAGGTCCTGGGACAGATGTTTGGAGCATGCCTGCAATTAAGATGTGGGCAGAGGCAGCACATCCCACTCAGAGACTGTCCCAAGGCAGGAGGAAAACCAGGAGGGAGTCTCACCTCAGACCCGAGCAGGTGGCAAGGCCAACACCATCAAAGCTTCAGGGTATGATGAACATTGAAAATAGACATTTCTGGGGTTTGGCAATTAGGAGACCACTGGTGGCCTCAGCTAGAGTGATTTCAGCCTGAGGTGGGGGGGAGGGAGTTCTGTGGGGTGCAGGGGAGAAAGGGAGGTGAGGAAGAGGCACAGAAGGAGAATTTTGACCATTGGAGGGCAATGCAGGGATGGCTTGCAGAAGAGGCAGAGGGGAGGCAGGTTTGTTACTCTTTTAGGGAGAGTGAGATTTGAGATCAAAGGGAACAGAGAAGGAAGGACAGATAGAAGACAGGAGGCAGAGGAGGGTCATTGCTTGGGAACAATTCTGGGGCAGCAAGGGCAGGGACCCAGTGTCCACTTGGAGGGATTTAATAGGCAAGCCCAGAGTTGGCAGGCAACGGGCAGGCAGAAAGCTCCAGTTTTCCATAGAGATTGAATGAAATTGAGTATTTGCTTAAGGTATAGAATAGTAAGGAAACCCTGGGCTTCTCCCCTGCTGGTCTTCCCAGGCCCCATCTCTGGAACCTTAAGCCATATCTCTTTGATGGGCGCAGGGGCTCTCAGGGGCTTGGCACCAGAGTCTCGAGGAGTTTCTAGTTCTGTACCTCCTGGTTCAGCAGGTGCCCACTGAGTTCTTTCTGCATATCAGACTGTGAACACTGGCCCAGCATGAGGCATGGCTCCGGACTCCACAGGGTCATGCTTTGCCCTTCGGTGAATTCTGTGGTATAGATCACTAGCTCACTGGTTCACTTCAGCTGGACAGCTTGGTTCTTGGACAGAGTACCAAATAGGCAGACAGTCCTCCTTTGCCCAGCAGGTTGAGTGAGCTAGTCTTCTTGGCCAGTCATAGGCAGAGGCTGGTGCTTCTTGGACACGAATGGATCAGATGCTGCTTTTCTTCCCAGATACCCTATTGTGGTGTTTCTCATGCCCCTTTATCCCCAGGAGCTCCATCAGCAGTGAGGGAGAGAGAGTGCTGGAGCAGGTGCCAAGTTGACCCCAGGCCATAGCCAACCCAGGAGCCCTGGAATGCTAGAGCCTCTGAGCAATCCTTGTGGCCCCATCAGAGGAGGGGTGGGCTTGTTCAATCCCTGACTGGGTCTGTTGGAGCACGTCCTCCCAGGACTAGCCAATCTGCTCGCACAGCACCCACGCAAGATAATGCAGAAGTTTATTGGGGAAGAGGTCACAGAAGGGTCAGTTGTCCTGTTGATCAGGACTGGTTAGAGCAGCTCACCTCTTGATGCCAAAGGTCTTTTCCCTGGAGGTTGGGCCAGGCCTGGACAGCGGCTCAGTATTTGTGCTGCAGTTTCTGTGGAACAGGCTCTGTCATCTCCATCTTGGCTGCACGTTAGAATCACAGAGGAGGTGGGTTTTTGTTTTGTTTTGCTTTTTACTACTAATGCCTGGGCCCTGTCCCTAAGCAATTCAGTAAAACCCTGGGCAAGCGGGCCCCACACATCTGTATACGGTGTTTGTAAAGTCCTTAGGTCACTTGCTCCCTTGCGCAGCCTGTGGCCTGCTGATAGAAAGGGGTCAAGGGGCTCCTGCTCCGGGAAGACCGAGGGTGAGGGCAGGGTGGATCTGGCACAGTTTGTGGAGTCCTGAGTGTTAGAGCTGGAAAGATCCTAGTTCAGAGATTTGCAACTCACAGTGTGGCCCCAGTGCTCAGCTGAGTCAGGCTGAGTCAGGACAGCCACGTCAGAGTTTGAAGAGCTGCGCCCATGTTAGAGTCCCCTGGGTTCTGAGGTGGGGTACCCAGCCACTCGTTTCTTAAAAAATGTTTTTTAAGTATCCTGGGCAATCTCTCTGCTCAGCCTGACCTGTGCTGTGATCCGTGCTCTCAGACTAGAGTAGTACATAGGAATAGCCGGGGGACCATATTTGGATTCTAAGTTTATGGGTCTGGAGGAGGCCTAAGATCCTGCCCTCTTACTGAGGCTCCTGTGGTGCCCCTGCTGCTTGCTGATGTGTTTTTGGGCAGCAGGATCTATTGACAGCAGAGGAGGGTCAGAGAGGGGCGGTGTCCCAGCACAACACTCCTGCACCTTCCAATACTCCTTCCTGCACACCTGGCAGCAGGCTGGATGCTGGTACTGGAGTGATGGGCAGGGCAGACCTATTCCAACTCTCACAGAGTGTCTGTCCTAAGTGGGGAGACAGACAGAAAGCTGACAAATAGGCAACGATGCTGGTCACATCATTGTGAAGGGGAAGAAGGCCGCACAGCAGGGAGGGCCTTGGAGGCCATGGGGGTCAGGGAAGGCCTGCAGCTTCCAGAACAGCTGTCAAGGGGGTTACTAGAGCAAGGACTTT